CATGGACATATGGGGCCCTTGCAGAGAAGAAGCTCTCACTAACACACCTTATTTCCTCACAGTGGTTGATGACTTCAGCAGGGGGACTTGGGTATTCATGATGATGCACAAGTCACAAGCAGGAAAGTTGGTGAGTGGATTCATCAACATGGCTGAAAATCAGTTTGGTTACAAAGTGAAGAGAGTCAGAACAGACAATGGAAAGGAGTTTTTTGGGAAGGACTTGCATGACTTCTTTCATATGAAAGGTATATTGCATGAAACAACATGTGTCTACTCTCCACAACAAAAGGGAGTAGTGGAGAGAAAATATAGACATTTGCTAGAAGTGGGAAGAGCTCTACTGTATCAAGCAAACTTACCATTAACTTTCTGGCCATTTGCTGTACAAACAGCTGCATACATTATCAACAGAATCCCTACTTCTGTTCTTGGGTGGGAGACACCTTTTGAGAGACTTTGCCAGAGATCACCAGAATATCACAGAATGAAACCCTTTGGGTGTTTGACTTATGCAGCAAACACAAGGCCTAACAAGTCTAAGCTTGATTCTAGAGGAAGGAAGTGCATATTCCTTGGCTATGTCACAGGAAAAAAGGGATATAATTTGTATGACATGGAGAGCAAAGAGATATTCATTGGTAGAGATGTGGTCTTCCTAGAGGAAGTATTTCCTTTTGAAAGAGACTCTCCACAACAAGAAAGTTCTTTGCCTACTATCTTCCCACCAACTGACCCCATTGATGAGATTATTCAATCTGGTTCTCCTGATAATCACAATGAACAACTCCCTTCTCCTACTGAACCAGCACCTTTGCAGCAGCATGCTCAACCACCAAGGAGGAGTCTACGTACTAGAAAACCACCACAATGGCATGAAGATTACATATGTGAGGAGCCAGTTGTCCATGAGGTTCGTGAAAATGTTGACTCAGCCATCTTCATGGGGAATGTTTGTAATGAAAAGGAACCTACACACTATGGCCAAGCCAGTAGACACCCAGCTTGGGTTGAAGCCATGAACCTAGAGATTGATGCCCTAGAACAAAACAACACATGGGTATTGACTACTCTTCCAGCAGGCAAGAAGGCTATTGGTTCAAAGTGGGTATTTAAAATTAAGAGAAGAGCAGATGGGACTGTAGAAAGGTTTAAGGCTCGGTTGGTAGCCAAAGGATACAATCAAGTAGAGGGAATTGATTTCTTGATATCTTTAGTCCAGTTGCCAAATTAGTCACTGTCAGGATCTTTGTGGCAATAGCAACTATGAAAAGGTGGAGTTTACATCAAATTGATGTGTACAATGCTTTCTTGCATGGGCATTTAACTGAGGAAGTCTACATGACACCACCATAGGGATATACTAAGGCCAAAAGTGGACAGGTCTGTAAGCTGTTGAAGAGTTTGTATGGCCTCAAGCATGCCTCAAGGGAATGGAACAAAGAATTGAGCAGGAAGCTGTCCTTATTTGGCCTGGTTCAATCTCCTCATGACCATTGTCTTTTTACTATAAAGAGAGGTGATCATTTCATGGCTATTTTGGTATATGTTGATGATGTGCTCTTGACAAGCAATAATGATGGTCTTCTTGCTGAACTCAAGCTTTTCCTGAACAAAGAGTTCACTATTAAGGATCTGGGCATGGCTAGGTATTTTTTAGGTGTTGAGATTCAAAGAAATCAGCAAGGCACCACACTTTCTCAGAGGAAATACATATTGGATATGTTGGGTGATTTGAATATGTTGGAATGTCACTCAATGGCTACTCCTTTGCCTCATGGGTTGAGGTTACAGTTAGAAGATGGTACACCTCTCTGTAATCCTGAGCAGTTTAGAAGACTTGTGGGGAGGCTCCTTTATCTTAACTTGACTCGGCCTGACATTACCTATGCTGTGCAACAACTGAGTCAGTTTGTTAATGCACTTTTTTCCTCACACTGGGATGCAGCTATACATATTATGAAGTATCTGAAAGGAACAGCTGATTATGGCCTCTCATTTCCTTGTGATGGACCTTTTACCCTCACGGCTTACTGTGATGCGGATTGGGCCGCGTGTAAGGACACTAGAAGATCTGTTACCGGTTATTGTGTGCAATTGGGAGGTGCCCTTATATCTTGGAAGAGCAAGAAACAGCAGACCGTCTCCAAATCCACGGCTGAGTCCGAATACAGAGCTATGAGCTCAGTGGTTTCTGAATTACAGTGGATAGCCTTTGTGTTGGACAGCTTCTTTATTCATGTGCCCTACCCCATTGCTCTATGGTGTGACAACAAAGCGGCCCTACACATCTCCGCCAATCCTGTATTTCACGAGCGTACGAAGCACCTCGAGATCGATTGTCATTACGTGCGTGACAAGTATAAAGATGGTTTTGTTTCTCCACGGTTCATCTCCTCTCCTTCTCAGTTGGCAGACTTGTTCACCAAAATTTTGCCTGGGAAGCAGTTTCGTGCATTGCTCTTCAAGTTGGGCATGATTCACCTATGTCCAACTTGAGGGGGGGCTGTTGGTATATTGAACTTCAGCTGGCTTTCGTTTTTTTTCTTCTTTTTCTCTTTTGTTTCTTTTCTATTTTCTCTGTTAGCGTTTTTTAATTGTTGCGTTTTATCTTAATACCATGCGACGTCGTTTTGCTCTGTGACGTGGTGCATGAGTATAAATATGTACTTTGCATGTTTGAACGGTAATAAGAAAAATTCCAGAAGAAGAACTTTCTCCCCAAAAATCTGATTTCTTCTTTACAAATTTTACAACGAGAAAACTTAATAAAAAGATATGACACAGAAATAGAACATAAAATAGTTCGACCGACGGCGTCCATATGGCCTACCGCTCGACAGATATGACACTGGAGGCCAAGCAGCTGCGAGATAGCAGCCACCCGAGAACGAATAGTTCCATACAGAATCAATAAATCGCTATTCAAGATTATATCGACTGTCCATATTCAAAATTAGAAATTAAGAATGTCTAATTCGAAATCTTGAAACAGCGATTTTAAGAAAAGAATCTTGAATCCGTTGACAACCAAATGGGGACATATGTCCCATGAATTGATTCGAAACCCAACAGTTTGACTATTCGATTGACCTGGTGAACCATGTTCATTTTAAATGTCCAACATTTGAAATTTAGTCGAAATTTTGACCAAACTTTAATGTAAAGATTATATAGTGACTTTGCCTTTCCTCTTGTAGGGATTAATTTGTAGCCCATTTGACTATTGGAACGTTGTATTATTTGAGTTTGGTTAATTTCATTTATCAGCTGTGTTAAAACTCTTGAGGTAGAGCTTTGCCGCCCTTGTGGTCCTACCTGGCTCGATTCCGGATTAGTCGGTCCCCTAGGGGATTCGGAAACCGGAATGTTCATTGTACCAAAAAAAAAAAATCGTAATTTAAAAATTTTAAATTAAAACGACATTTAAAAAGAAACAGAGG